GGCCAACATCTCGAGCAACTCAGGAATGATTTCTAATGAATAAAAGTGAAGTTATTAAATTAGTAATGCCAAAGTCCGTATCAGAATCACGTAGAAAACCTCTGAAGAATTCTGAAAACTGTTGTCCAACGAAGGTCACCAAAAATCTTGACGCATCTCTACCAGAATACAAGAAAATAGTCGGCTCTCTGTACCTCTCCAATAAGTAACGGTATCCTTCTGCTATCCACTGCAATGCCAAGAGAGAGATCAGGACAAAAATGGAGTACAGTTGTTATATTTGGTCTTGATACAGTTCAAATGCATCTCCGTGTTCTTGTGGCTGACGAATTATTTTTCACCCTCCAACCACTTTCACAAGCGGAATGAAGTGAGCCTCTCACTGCTTTATTGCTATTTCCGTGGAAAGTTCTCGGCCGAACAACATTCTTTACTTCAGCCAGGTCTAACGTTCACGACGAGGGCTCGGCATTGCAGCCAGTAACCCACATTCCCTTCGAATTCCATCGCTGAGAAATAAGTGCCAGTCAAACAACATCTTCCTCTGAACCACAGCTCGGTGGAACAGACTCCCAACAGGATGTTTTCTTAACCTGATCAAGTCTTGAGTTAACCATTATCATCTCCTCCTATCCGTATAAACTACCCCTTAACGTAACACTCTACCTCGAATAGCCCCCGGACCTTGTATAGTGTAAAGCTTACTCTAATATATATATCGTCAGGCCACGATTGCATCTAGCATGAAACAGATTGTCGCCTCTAAGTGTTAACTTCTATGTTCACTTATATATTTACACACGCTCTGTCTCTGATATTGAGCACATTATCCCATTAATATACCACATCTTAAGATTATATTTCTTCATATATATATATATATATATATATATATAAATCCTAATGAGCCAGTTACTACCTAGGTTTCACCACATGGGATCATGAGGGTGAATTGATGATCCCATGTTGTAAAACCTAGGTAGGCAATACTTGGCTCATTAGTATTGATTTATTTTAATTTTTCCTCTACTTAGTTTATTGAGCACTCTTCGATTTAACTTATTACTCGCTGGTTTTTCTTTTATACCAGAGATTTAAGATACTGAACGATTTCTTTCGCCCAGTTCGGATGTTTCTTGTGCTTTCATTTTTTTTTCGTTTTTTCCTCGGATGCCAATTTATTTGAAAATTGTGCTATCCAGGTTTTTTCAGTCACCTAGTTTAAATTGATTTACATTAAAGGTGTATTTATTATGACCTGAGCAAAAATTAATATTCAATAAAATCCAAAATCACGTCATAGGTTGGATAAGGTTATTTCGACCGACGAAAATATTCGTTTGACTTATTCAATCCTGGAATATAATATTATGAACCAATGTGGTGTATATATTAATATATAATATTGATATGTAGAATTTAAGTTTTTTTACTGATATATATTGTATTATTTGGTCTGATGAAATGGTATTTGTAAATCTTTCGTAGTGTAATATTTAAGGAATGAATATAGTTTTTTTTATGTATTTTTTATTAATATTTTTATTAATAGTTATTACTGCATTTTATGTAATATTTAATATATTATTTAAATTTATTTGCTATTAATTTTTTTTTACTATTAATTGGTTAATTAAGTTAATATATGTAATTATTTATTATATAATGTTATAAAAGTCACGTATTCTTTCACTTATTTTATCATCCCTGGATTGAAATATCCTTGTAAATTTTATGCCAATTTACAAGGTGAAAATGATCATTAATCTAATGTAATCTTAATTCCTATTGTATAAAATATGTTGCTCTGTTTACTTAAAACATTGAGCTGTGTGAATCAGTTTTAATATTTAATATTTTATATTGTATTAACAGGATTATATACCAACGGATTATTATCTATCTATCTATCTATCTATCTATATCTATATATATATATATATATATATATATATATATATATATATATATAGATAGATAGATAGATATTAGTGATAAATATACACATACATATACAACGATATATCTAAAAAGTATAAATATATATACAGACAGACATACACATACATATATATTTGTAAAAAAAATAATTCCAAGAGGATAGAATCCAGGTAGAACTCAATGTCGAGGACAGAGTAAGGATATAATAAAAAGGCTTAAACACTAATATTCCATGGTCATAAATTATTCCATTGGAATCGTAAATACGATCCAATTCATCAGACCTACAAATTCAAAACTTTCTATTTTAAGGAAGTTTGATTTCTGAGGTATCTATATCTAAAAGAGTGTCTATGGTTGTATAGACGCTGCTTCCAATCACCGGCGGATATAGCTATATATCGTTTTTTCTGGTTTATATTTTCCTCGGGGAAGATTGTTGCCTCGTATACTACATTTTCATACATACATTTACCCCCGATTGGATAATGGTCTTTATTCCTACAATTGCAGGTAGGGTTACTAGATTGAGTTTCATTACTATGGTAGGTTGTAAGTATTCTACAATTATGGGAAGATATGATTTTCTCCATATTTCTAACGCATGAGTAACTAATTTTAAGTGTCTTCCTATTGTAAATTTTACGTAGTGGATGTTTACTATGAAAATGTTTATCAATTAATCTCAGAAAGAAATGAATTTGTAAGTCTGATGACTTGGATCGTATTTACGATTCCAATGGAATAAATTATGACCATGGAATTTTAGTGTTTAAGCCTTTTATTATATATATATATATATATATATATATATATATATATATATATATATATATATATAAAAACCGATGGAAAGCTATTATTGTTGTAAAAGGAACTCCAATAAAGTACTGAATAACCTCTGTCTTAATATTTTCCCCACACTGTAAAATCAATAATTTGTCAATTTTATGAAATTAGACTGTAGACTAAAGTTTGTAATTGTTCTAATGACTTACCAACTAAGTGTTCAAATTGATATGCACTTTATCATATGTCACTTTGTAAATATAGTAAATTTGAGATAAAAGTGTATTTTCTTGTGGTGTGAATACTTTAGAAAACAACAATATTTATAACAGCATCATTATTATTATTATTATTAGAAAAACAATTTATATTTAAAGAATATACAAGAAAACAGGGCTGAGAAGGAATAATTTGTTAGATGAAAACAAATTTTGGTACATAGCCAAATATAATGACATGTTTGCTTGTCTCGCTAGAAGAAAAAACGACTGAGTAGTGAGTTCGATCCTCACTGGGTGACCCATACTTTCGGTCAAGTGCCACTCCTAAGCCATGGTTGGAAAATCACTATAATAACATGTTTAGACTGACATATATATATATATATATATATATATATATATATATATATATATATATATATATATAAACTCATAATGACTTTTTAGACTCACACACACACACACACACACACACACATATATATATATATATATATATATATATATATATATATATATATATATATATCGATTCTCCCGTCAGGTTCGACGTATGAGGGTCAAGCCGATCAGTTTCAGGAAACTGACAGCCTGACACCGGCACATGAGATTCGATTATAGTGGTGAAGGTTTCGTGCAGCACTATCCACACTTTTTGAAGGGCCGAATACAGAGGCTTGGTGCACTACGTGTCACAAGGTCCCCAAACGACCCTCCGCAGGTTTTGAATTCAGAGTTGTCCTTCTCCTAGACCAGTTGCCATCCAAGGCTATAAAACCCAGTCTGTCCTGCTATTTAACCCATAGCTATATATTTGACCCATGCTATTTAACCCATATATATATATATATATATATATATATATATATATATATATATATATATATATATATATAAAGCAGTCGTAGTTCTTGGGGTACGGTTCCAAGTTTATCTGAATACTTGGATGAGTATCGCTGCAGTGTGAGTAACACGCTATATCGAGTCTATTTTGTGTCTTCTTCGTCACCGAGTCCCGTGGTACTGTTGGCATGACGCTTGTGTTGTATCGAAACGGTCCAGGTTCGATTCTCAGTAATGGATGCGCACTGCTGATGAGTCCCAGATAAGGCGAAACGGTCATCCAGTGCTTTCTGCATTCTGTTGAGGATTCTTCTAGACTCATTACTATAAGCCTAAATCACCCAAATTAATTACATGTAAATATACGTATGTATGTATATATATATATATATATATATACAAACTCATACGGGAGTATATAATTTATTTTTAATCGTGTATCCTAAAACAAGGCAATAAAGCCACTTAGACGCAAAGGGGGTTAATGAGTGTGAGATAATATGAAGTAAAAAATAAAACATTTTTAAGTAGAGAGAATAAAACAGACGAACATTTGACATTAGTTATAAACTTTCGAAGATCAATGGGAAGCAAGAAAAAAAGAAAAATTCAACAAGCGAGAAATATGAGAGAAGAAAATGTTAGCATAGAACTTACGGTTACATCTAGCTATTTAAACTGTACGTTGATGAAACCTTGTCAGCTAGTAGCACGCATAAATTTATAAACACTAGCTACCAAAAAGGAAACCACATCAGTAAAATTATTACAATATTTATAGAAAAGGGACATCAAGTTATAAATTCCTAGATATCAGGGCAATGTTAGGTAATTTAATGACAAATTTGAAAAAAATATATGTAACGTATTTCGACTTCTAAAAAGACGATATCCAATTAAATAATTTTATTTTACAACACACTCAAACTCTCGGTCACGATGACTTGTGACATTGATTTAGCACAGCTATTGACGGCCTCCAAATGTCCAGTCTACCCAATTTCACTAACAAGGCATATTTCTACCCGTGCTATGGTCTTCAGGTACTTTCCAAATGTGCTGCACACTGGGTTCGTCCCAACTCCAGAACGATAAACCAATCGTGGCGAGATTCGAACGCGAGTGTCATAGTCAGAAAGCGAACATTCTAACCACTCGGCCACGCACCCAAATAGATAGATTGATACAGACAGTAATATTAGGAAACTAAGATAGATAGATTGATAGATAGATTGATAGATAGGAACAAACTGAGATAGATTGATATGTATAGACTGAAATATGAACAGACTGAGATAGATAGATAGATAGATAGATAGATAGATAGATAGATAGATAGATACAGACAGACATAAGTATTAACAGACTGGGATAGATAGATAGATAGATAGATAGATAGATAGATAGATAGATACAGACAGACAGACAGACATACAGAAATATTAACAGAATGGGATAGATAGATAGATAGATAGATAGATAGATAGATAGATAGATAGATAGATAGATAGGAACAGACTGAGATAGATTGATATGTATAGACTGAAATATGAACAGACTGAGATAGATAGATAGATAGATAGATAGATAGATAGATAGATAGATAGATAGATACAGACAGACATAAGTATTAACAGACTGGGATAGATAGATACAGACAGACATAAGTATTAACAGACTGGGATAGATAGATAGATAGATAGATAGATAGATAGATAGATACAGACAGACAGACAGACAGACAGACAGACATACAGAAATATTAACAGAATGGGATAGATAGATAGATAGATAGATAGATAGATAGATAGATAGATAGGAACAGACTGAGATAGATTGATATGTATAGACTGAAATATGAACAGACTGAGATAGATAGATAGATAGATAGATAGATAGATAGATAGATACAGACAGACAGACAGACAGACAGACATACAGAAATATTAACAGAATGGGATAGATAGATAGATAGATAGATAGATAGATAGATAGGAACAGACTGAGATAGATTGATATGTATAGACTGAAATATGAACAGACTGAGATAGATAGATAGATAGATAGATAGATAGATAGATAGATAGATAGATAGATAGGAAGGAACAGACTGAGATAGATTGATATGTATAAACTGAAATATGAACAGACTGGGATAGATAGATTCTCTATATATTTACTTCATAGATCAATTAAGTCTGCTGTCTTATATTACATACATTATATAGACATATTATATAGGTCTTGTATCACATTTGCTTTATATATATATATATATATATATATATATATATATATATATATAATACTTTAAACGTTATTTTTGTCGATACACGTATGTAAAACAAACGCCTCGATTTTATTTTTTAAACAATCTGCATTATATCTATTGACCTGTGACCTCGCAAACTTTAATAAAGAAAAATATTTCACAAGTCCGCAAGCTGATAGCTGTAGTTCTCACTGTTTAAAATATAGACGCGGGTGTCTATTTAAAATACGGATGCCCACTAAAAATAACATGTCAGATTAAAAATAAATCTATCAGTTATTTAGAAATATATGTTTTTGTGTATGTGTTCTTGTATTAAGATATATAAAACAATTTTTAGGCTATTTGAAAAGAGCTTTTTAATGCACAAAATAAATATTTTTTTTTTATTATTATTATTTACTCATTAAATGACTGCTTCACGCAGTGCTGATTTTCAAAATGTGCTATCTTTTTTTTTTTGGGGGGGATGCTCCCGAGCTCTCTTGTTCCTTTATTTTTACGTTTTCCAAAACTAATGAGTCTGCATGCCAACAGTTTAAAATAATATCACTCCATTTCTATATGAATCCATTCCTGTTCTTGAATTTTATGATTTTCAGTTTCTCATCCATACGGAGGTTATATTGCCAGTTAACATCATTATATGATTGACAATTAGCCATCTTTTACGCCTGTGGTTTACTGATTCAGCTTGATTTTTCCAGGTTCGACAAGGCGTCACGAGGTGTCACTGTTAAACAATCATAAAAACAGGACACTTCCTGTCTTCTTTCTATCTTCTCTCTTTTTTTTTTTTTGCTTTTTGTAACGGTAGAATCAACAGGAGAACGGGTCTTCGTGCATTGGGATATCTATCACCTGAATGACTAAACTGCTTCACCCACCCACCATACACACGTGCAAGCGCATACACACATATGCGCATACACTACACGCACATACACGTACGCACATATATACACACATATGGGCATACACTCATATGCACACATACGGATACATACACACACCGATACACACATACGCATACAGACACAGACACATGCACATATATGCATATACATATATGCGAGCATATACACACATAAGCAAACATGCAGACATACACATGCACACACTTACACACATACATATACACATTTTCGGGCATATACACATACGGGTATACACACACATACGCAGACACATATACACATTCGGGAATACTCACATATGGCCAGTCGTATTCGAGTATATCCATTAAGTAGGGCGACTAGCCAATCCTTATTGCAGACGCTTGCTCTGGCGCATTTGTATTTACTGAGTATAAATTTATACTGCAACTATGCTTGGCAGGCCTTAGTTCCTGGGAGAGAGCGTATTACCAAGCGTGATCAACAATTTGAACAAAGCCATCTCGCTCAGGCCCACGGCTTGGCTTTCCCAGGTTCGACAACGCGCCATCAGGTGGCGCTGTTAAACAACTATAAAATAAGAGTTTCTGTCTTCTTTCTCAGCGGTAGACAGGTTTCCGTCTACTCAGTTTCACTCCACAAGCCTTGATCAACCCATGGCATTGTTTTCAGACACTTTCCAAAGGTACCGCACGCTAGGATCGACCCCCTCCAGTCAGGTAACATCAGGAAGTGCCCTTCTTGACAAATCGACCATGGTGATATTCGAACCCGGGTCTCATGGTCATAATGCAAACGTTCTAACCACTCGGCCAGGTGCCCATATACATACACATACGCACATACCTATACACACACAAAAACAGACTGGGCCATATAGCCTTGGTTGGCAGCCAGTCTACCACAGAATGAAAGTACAGCCTACCGCGGGATATCTCCTGCCTAATCAGTCATGAACCAAAAAAAGAAAAGATCGCCCCTGCGGAAACACGAATGGCACTGAGCAGACTAACAATTTCATAATATATATATATATATATATATATATTAAGACATTTTATGTTTATACATTCTTTTTATAAATAAAAATATTTAAGTAAATGATCTGTTTATAATAAACGGTATAAAAAGCATTTACGGGCCTGAATGTCCGAGAAATTGTCATAGAAAATATGCGTCCTCTGACAGGATTCGAACCTGCACGGAACTGTCATAGCATTGAACAACATTTGCCGGCCTGAATGTCCGAGAAATTTTCACAGGCCGGTAAATGTTGTTTAATACTATTTATTATAAACAGACCATTTACTTAAATATTTGTATCTATAAAATAATGTATAAACATAAAAAAAGTCTTAAAATAATTTTCGGACTTTGTCCATTTCATAATATATATATATATATATATATATATATATATATATATATATATATATATATATATATATATATATATATATATATATATATATATATCCGAAAGTAATGAGAACGAAAATAATATATAACTTTTAATGTTCACAGCATTAATTCAAAAGAGGTTTTAATACCGATAGTAAAAGCAATAATTATTACACACACACACACACACATATATATATATATATATATATATATATATATATATATATATATATATATATATATATATATATATATATATATATATATATATATATATATATACACACCTACGTTTGGGGTGAGACTTAAATTTCGTTGTTTTACCAACTCATCAAGCATGAGCTATAACTCATGATTTAAAAAAATAATATACTATATTAAACATTATTATAGTTTATATATATATATATATATATATATATATATATATATATATATATATATATATATATATATATATATATATATATATATATTTATAGTATATATTTATATATATAATTTTATAGTGTATATATATATATACTATTTTATAGTGTATATATATATATATATATATATATATATATATATTATTTTAAAATCATAAATTATACCTTGTGCCTGATGTGTTGGTAAAACAACGGAACTACTATTTGCCCCCATTTATTAACATATATTTCTTAGCTCTGTCTAACCACATCGAGCACTGTTATGTTAAAACCTTAAAGTGAATTTAGTAAATATGTATTTACCTACCTGTGTAAGCACGCTAGAATATATGGTTGCTAATGTCTAGTTATTTGATTTACCCACTTACCACTCTGTCTTTCTCTCCCTCTCTCCCTTTCTCTCTCTCTCTCTCTATATATATATATATATATATATATATATATATATATATTTTTTTCATATAGACAAAGACAATTGACTGACTATAAAAAGTGAGTAAATTGTTTTGTCTATATGAAAAAATTATAATAAATAATTATTGCTCTACTATTTGTATTAAGCCATCTTTTAAATTAATGCTGTGAACATTAAAAATTATGTATTATTTTTGTTCTCATTACATTCGGATATATATATATATATATATATATATATATATATATATATATATATATATATATATATATATATATATATATATATATATATATAATGAAATTGACAATTATTTTAATATATTCTTTGTTTATACGTTATATTTTATAGATATAAATATTTAAGTAAATTATAATAACCAGTATTAACATTTAACGGCCTACATGTCTGAGAAATTTCAAAGGAAATATATATCCTCCGACAGGAATCGAACTTGTATCCTACAAGGAACCGTCATATATTAAAAAGAAGAGAGAAAACAGAAGCGTTTTTAGTTGTAATGTGGATTTTTTAATATATATATATATTATATTTTATTTTCTATAATTTTGCCACACGAGTTTCCGGTCTCGTGACATTTTTCAGGCAAAGATTGCATATTTCCACCTATTATTAAAATTAATTAATTTTCTTTATGGTTTTCGTTGTTAAACATTCTCTCTTTTAGGGGCGGGGGTAGTAATAACACAAATGTCTTTCTTGGACTGGTAGTAAGAAAGTTCTTTTGCTTAAAATTAATAAAACAATTAAGATCGGTCTGAGAAAAGATGCGGAAAGATACTGTATTTTTATCTTTTAATTACCCCTGTATACTATTAAATCTATTTCCATTTTTGTGTAATGTTTGTGCGTTTTTGCGAGTATGTGTAGGTATATTCCCTCTCCATACATACATAGTGTCTTATTATAAGGGGTTAGCATGCATATATATATATATATATATATATATATATATATATATATATATATGCATATATATATATATATATGCATATATATACACTCAACATATATATACATACATACACACAGACACACACACACACACACACACACACATATATATATATATATATATATACACATACATAAATATATACATACACACAGATAAACACGCTTCCTATGTTGTGTGGGGTTCGTGTGTGTGCTTGTGTGTAGTCTATTTGTTTTTGGAAGTATATGTGTATATATATTCGCTTTTCATAGATACCTGCGTGTGAGCGTGTGTGTATGTATGTGAGTGGTCTAGCCACTGTATTTGGTCACTATGTGTGCATGATGTGTGCTTTTGCGTGTGGGGTTATGATCTATTTAGTGCTGGTTTAAATTTGCTTATGAAGTTTTTTCCTTGTATTTGTAGTTAAGAATAATTGTCTGTTTGGTATATTGGCATAATTTTAAATTCACCCTTGTTACATTTATAGATGTGTTACGATACAAAGAGTTTTCTGTTGTCTGCTAATTTTATGTTGCTTTCGTGAAGGGAAACTCTGTTGTTTAATGCTTGGCTGATACCTGTATATGACTTCTTGCATTTTGTGCATTTGAGTGCATAAATCACATTTTTTGGACTTGCAGTTTAAATTCTTACTTATTATGAATGTCTTTTTGGGGATTTTCAAAAAATGTAGGAGTTACCTTCTATAATGATATAAAAAATTTCATATCTTTTTTGTTGCATTTTGTGATCCTCTGTCTTTTGTGTTGGTTAAATTTGGATGAGGTTAATATGTATTTCAGGTTTTTAGATTGACGTTTGTTTTTTATTATTTTAGTTATGTTTAGTATATTTTTCAGTTTACCATTCTTGTTAAGTAGGTCTAGATTTTTTGTAATTTCTATAAATAGTTCTGGATTGTTCTTGTTGTATGTTGAGACATATGCTAGAGTTTGTTCGACGTTACGTTTATTTCGATTTCGTAGTTGGTCTAAAGGAATTTTTTGCGTGTTTAAAACCTTTGTTTATTAGTGTTGTGAAGTAGAATCGTTTTTTTTAGAGTTCTAAGTAGTTTTTCTAGGCGGGATTTTCGGAGGTATTTGTCAGTCACTATAGTACAGAGCCTACGTGCTAGAGAATAGGGGATGAATTTCAAGCAGCTTTTTGGGTGATAGTTCTTGAAATGAAAATATTGTTGGGTATCTGTAGATTTGTGGTAGATGTCTGTGATTATTTGGTGGTTTCTATTTCTAATGAGTATATCTAAGAATGGCAATTCATTAAAATTATATTCTTGGGTGAATTTGATTTTTGGTTGTAAGTTCTGAAGTAGAGCGTAGAATTGGTTAATATCACCCTATGAGGTTTTGCAGAAAAATGAAGCAATCATCTAAGTTTCATTTCCAAGATTTAGTGAAGTGGGTTCTTATATTTCCCCATATATTTGTCTTATCTCTTCATAGAAAGGTTTTCCTCTAGGTAAGCTAATGTTAGGGTGGCATATGTTGGTGTCATTTTTGTTCTCATTATGGTACCTCGGGTTTGGATATAGTTTTTGTTGTCAAATTCAAATGTGTTATTGTTTAGAATTCAATCTATACTATCGATAATGAATTCCTTAGTGAATCTGGGATGTAATGTCTCTGGATATTTTTCAATTCAGAATGAGATTGCCTCCTTACCTAATTCATGGGGTATGTTGCTATATCGGCTACTGATGTTGAAAGTTGCCATAAGTGTTTCCGGATCTACTTTCTATGTTATGGAGTTAAGGAAGTGTATATCGTCTCTGATTGACTTTTAATATATATATATATATATATATATATATATATATATATATATATAATAAAAAGGTTTAAACACTAATATTCCATGATCATAATTTATTCCATTGGAATCGTAAATACGATCCAAATCATCAGACCTACAAATTCAAAATGAAAACAGAAAAAACAACTCCGGAAATCAAAACAGAATTTAGAGAAAGTGTAAGTATGAGGAGGAGGGAGATGAAACCTTAACAGAGAGAATTTTAGGAGATGTAGTGGGGGAAAGAAATTAGAAAGAGGAGAGAAAGAAAGTCGACGGATGTCTAATGCATAAAGATATATTTCGTGGTGACATACACACACCATAGACAATTAGAAGTTAGGATAGGAGGTAGGGAGGAAAAAGAAAGAGAAGAGGTGGGGGAGAGAGATGGGACGAAGGGAAATAAAATTGTGTTTACTTAAACGGCATTGTTTATATTTAGGCAGCAATTTAGACAAAACTTGTGTATATTATTTAATATATATATATATATATATATATATATAGTAAAGATAATAAATCCGTTGGTATATAATCCAAAGAGTGTCTAGTAATATAAAATATTAAAACTGATCTACCAATGTGTGTGTTTGCGAATATATGTTGGTGTCGAGTATTGCACATTACACTTGTCGGCAGTTATGGTGGTATTATTTTTTTATCGATTGCCCTGCCCGATGCCCCCATCACGCAACTCGTCTCTTCTTCTTCCTTAGTAATGCCCCTCTTACCAGTACGACTATGATCTCCCTGATAGCTCCTCGCCACAAAGCAACGTACAGTGGACCAATGTCTGGAACTACCTCCGTTCACCACGACCCAACAACGTTTACCTATAAGCGGATTATGTAAGTAAGTAGGAAAGATAGATGGACAAAAGGAAAATAAATGCTAATGTATCTCTGAGAAGGAGTCCGCACACATGAGGGGGGAATAAGAAAGAAAGAAAAGGCGACTAAGAAAGAGAGAAAGAGAGAGAGAGAGAGAAGAATGAGTTTACTTCTAAGACGGTGTCGGACGACGCTTGGCAGCAGTTCAAGTGTCACCTGTGAAGACGGCCAAGACAGTGTCGCCGCTCCGTATACGCTCTGGGAACCGTCTCCACCCTAACGTAATTCGTCATTTTACCGATTACCCACATCCCCTCATTCCGATCTTGAGCTTTTTGGCTTTTTGCCCGATGACAGTCGTAAAACGGTCGTTTACGGGAGAACTGCCAAAAAAGATTCCAGTCTACTGAGGTTAATGTCAATAAAAGCCACATTCTGTTCGCTTTTCTCCTGCTTCGGACACAATCCGTGCCCGACCCAATCCGACCTCGACCATGACATTCTTTCAATGATTCTCCCTGACGATTAATTTTTTTTCTCCAATGATCATTTCTTTCTTTTTCAACGTCCTTATTCTCGATTCTTTCTTTCTTTCTTTCTTTCTTTCTTTCTTTGCGATTTTGTTTACGCTCTACTCTATATTCTCGATTCTTTCTTTCTTCTTATTTTCTCCGTAGTTTCTTTCTTTCTTTCTTTCTTTCTTTCTTTCTTTCTTTCTTTGTGATTTTGTTTGCATTCTACCTCTATATTCTCGATTCTTTTTTTCTTCTTATTTTCTCCGTAGTTTCTTTCTTTCTTTCTTTCTTTCTTTCTTTCTTTCTTTCTTTCTTTCTTTCTTTCTTTCTTTGTGATTTTGTTTGCATTCTACCTCTATATTCTCGATTCTTTTTTTCTTCTTATTTTCTCCGTAGTTTCTTTCTTTCTTTCTTTCTTTCTTTCTTTCTTTCTTTCTTTCTTGGTGATTTTTTTACGCTCTACCTCTATATTCTCGATTCTTTCTTTCTTTGTTTTCTCCGAGGTTTCTTTCTTTCTTTCTTTCTTTCTTTCTTTGTGATTTTGTTTGCATTGTACCTGTATTTTCTCGATTGTTTCTTTCTTACTTGTTTTTATAGGTGTTTCTTTCCTCATTTTCTTCGATTTTTCTTCTCTTTCCTTCTTTCTCAATTCACCTTTCTTTCTATTTATCGTTCTTTCTTTCCAAATATTCTCGATTCTTTCTCTCTCTCTCTCTGTCGTTTCATCCTTTCTTTCTTTTCCCACGTGTTGTTTTATCTTTTCTATCTATTCTTTATCTATTCTTATACCTTTTTACATCTTATTCCCACTTTTCCAGTTTCCTTCACAATTTCATTTTATTCATCTTCCTTTTCCTTGTTCTTCATAAATATATTTCTTCCTCACCTCGCGTCGCGTGGTTTCTTTCATTCTTAATCAATCTCTCTCCTACTTTCCACCTGCTTACTCGATTTTTTTATTCCTTTGCCTTCTTCACGTTCTTCCTGTAATCGTTTCTAATTCCTCGTCGCTTCCTTGCTTCTATTGACTTCCGCGATTTCCTTCTCTCGTTCCAAACTTTCTGTACCGTCTTACTCACTATCCCTCCTTACTCTCCTTCCCTCCTTACTCTCCTTCCTTTCTTACTCTCCTTCCATCCTTACTCTCCATCACTCCTTTTCTTACTCTCCTTTCTTTCTTTACTCTCCTTCCCTTCTTACTCTCCATCACTCCTTACTCTCATTCCCTCCTTACTCTCCTTCCTTCCTTTCTAAATGGTCCTGCTCACTTCCTATTTGCTAGTTTTTCAAGTTTATTTTCTATTTCTCTATCTACATCTTGTTTCCACTGCCTGCGCTAAAAGTAGTTACTAGCGTCTAAGAAGTTAGCTTATTGTTCTAGTATTATTGGTTCAATTACTGGCACGGTTCCTGCTGTCCTGTTCGACGAGTTCTTCTGAAGAAAGCACGATTGCCAAATGAAAATGTCCACACTTGCTCACACGAGGACATTTCCGGAGAAATTACAGACAATTTTGCTTACGACACGATTATTTATTAGTTTCATATATTTTGGAAAGGATGATTTCACGTACCTCAGCTGTTCCGTTATTATCACCAGAATAAAGAAAAGGAAATAAGAAAAAAATGGTTTCTTACCGCTCTTTCTCTCTTAGTATGTTCATATCTATCTATCTATCTATCTATCTATCTATCTATCTATCTCAGTCTGTTTATTATCTATCTATCTATCTATCTATCTATCTATCTATCTATCCCAGTGTTAACATCTATCTATCTATCTATCTATCTCAGTCTGTTTATTATCTATCTATCTATCTATCTATCTATCTATCTATCTATCTATCGATCCCAGTGTTAACATCTATCTATCTATCTATCTATCTATCTATCTATCTATCTATCTATCTATCTATCTCAGTCTGTTCATATCTATCTATCTATCTATCTGTTTATCTATCTATCTATCTATCTATCTCGGTCTGTTTATTATCTATCTATCTATCTATCTATCTATCTATCTATCTATCCCAGTGTTAACATCTATCTATCTATCTATCTATCTATCTATCTATCTATCTATCTATCTATCTCAGTCTGTTTATTATCTATCTATCTATCTATCTATCTATCTATCTATCTCAGTCTGTTCACATCTATCTATCTCAGTCTGTTCATATCTATCTATCTATCTATCTATCTATCTATCTATCTATCTATCTATCTCAGTCTGTTCATATCTATCTATCTATCTATCTATCTCAGTCTATTCATTATTATCTCTCTCTCTCTCTCTATATATATATATATATATATATATATATATATATATATGAAAAATTTGGAAAAAACAAACAAAAAATCCTTAAATGCAATTATGTTTGTTTAAAATGAATGAAATGTCGACGTCTGACGTTTCGGTTTAATCAACCTTCTTCAGGACAATATTCATTAAAATACAATTCAGTTCAATTTTACAAAGACGATGGACATGCATTTAAGGATTTTTGTTTGTTTTTTCCAAATTTTTCTTCATTCTGTCGGATCTATATCCATTTACATTTGCTTACATATATATATATATATCAGTCTGTTCACATTTATCTATCTATCTATCCAAGGCTATTCATTATCTATCTATCCGTCTATCTATCTATCTATGTCTATTTCTTATCTATCTCAATCTGTTCACATCTATCTATCTATCTATCTATCTATCTATCTATCTTAGTCTATTTCTTATCCATCTATCTCAATCTGTTCACACACACAAACACACACACACACACACACACACACATATATATATATATATATATATATATATATAAATATATATATATATATATATATATATGTCTATTTCTGTGTTCCTTTCTATCTAATAATATCTTTAATATTAATCTCTTCAAGTCAAACGCAAATTTTATCTATCATTCTTATCCTCAAAATCTTCATTTCCTTAAGCAATTTATCAATTTATTATACACCTCCTTCATTATTAAAGTTTCGACTCTAACAGTCTACCTTGAGTGTCATTCGAGCCTTGAAATTGAAGAAATTCAATAAACAATCTACCCCCTACTCTCTATCTCTCTATCTCTGTCGCCCTCTCTATCTATCTGAATATAATATAAGCATTTGATTATTTGTATAAACAATGAATCTTGCATATGCCATTTATCTTGCAAGTTAAATATGCCTGCATCTTTGGTAATACGTGATACTTGAATATCAGGATTTTAGAAACACGAATATATATATATATATATATATATATATATATATATATATATATATATATATATTTCCGGCTTACGAGACACTGCGGCTTGGAATATGCACCCTAATATTGGAAAGAGATTTCTAAGAAAAAAAGTAACACATTGGCCATCTGTCATTCACATTCTGGAGTCACGTATTGTCTACATTAATCATTTTGTTTGTATGGCAATGACACCCCAGTTGGTGGGTAGTAAATATGCTACACCGCTTTCATTACTACTGTACTGTACTGATGCGGCATTCACCCTGGGCGGATTGAGCCGGCTTCTTCCTGTTATGAGAAGAAGATTCTTGGGATAAATTACAGAAGTAGGGTACCCAGGCCTACTCGGATAACGTTCTTGCTTGCCGCGGGGTTCCCCACAGACGCAGAGACAGGAACGACCAGAAGCCGCCGGTTACCGATGCAGACGCTCCTTGGATTTTCACCAGAGCCCTTGTTAGCCGGCGTGTGTGTCAGACCTGTCCGCCTTGTGTGGCCCTACCAGGAACGAAGTTCCGGGCGGTATAGCTCTGACACTACCGTTTACACCCCCCCACCGACTGTGAGGTAATGGTTGGATTTACGGTCAAATCACGCTGAAACGCCGGAGTTAAGCAGCGTAGAGCCAGGTCAGTACTTAGATGGGGGACCGCTTGGGAACACCTGGTACTGTAAGCCCCCAACCCTTACACAGCTTTCATTGACCAAGGATGGTTTAATTTTCATGAAAAAGAATTAAATTTTTTGAAAAAAATGTGCGTGTAAAAATATAAAACAATCAAAGAAACTTGATTTCTCCTCAAATCCCAAGAACTCGTCAGTGCTGGATCCTTTAGATATCTAACATTATAGTGTAATGACTTGTTGAAACTTGACGAATGCATGGAATAATAATACAACACAAAATGTACTTGAAACAAGAAAGGAACACAATATTTACATATAGTCTTTTGTATATTCTTGGGAAGACCGTTCCTGGAGAATGTGTTGACTTAGTCGCAGTCGGGCAGAGTCTCTGGATTGAATCTCTTGATTCCTCCCCCACCCCGTCTTCCCCGTACCAACCATATTTATATGGTCGGTACTCCACTATGCAAATTAGGGGGATTCTACCACAACATGACAACATATGAATCCATGTTCCTCTCAGTCAAGCCAATTAGGTGACTGTCCAAGCTTACTTGAGCCTGGACGTTGCCTAACAATCTTCTTGCAAGGTACACACGTATTTCTCAGGGTATTTTAAAGACAAATATGCATCTTGTGGCCAGGAAATATATATATATATATATATATATATATATATATATATATATATATATATATATATATATAGCTTCTTTTTGGGATATTACATCGGAAAACATGACAAAATTTCTACACAATTGCAGTTGTGTTTTGATGTGTATGAACGCATCTTATCAGGCGATTGTAAAAATACTAGCATGTGAACGAGATATTTAAATTTAAAAGCTAAATACAACCTCTTTTTACGAAAAAAAAGAACCCTCTTTTAAAATTAGATATTGCAACCGTTATAATTTTACTGTTTCGTTCTCATCTTCCTGAATATATATATATATATATATATATATATATATATATATATATATATATATGAGACAGAAATGTGTATACACTAGAGTAGGGCAATAGATGACTTTGATGTGAAATGTTTAAAAATCTAAAATAAAACATCCTTGACGACTGAATGATTTACAAGAATGTGGAGCGAAAATTATCCTAAGGACGATGAGATAAGCTGCCGTTAGCCATTAGCAATACGTCTGCATCCGAAGAAAGTGATGCCTTACAGCGCGCGATAGATAAATTGTCTAAATGACGCAAAAAGTGAAAATAATAATAACATCTCACTTTAACAGATATATTTACCAAAAAACAAAAAAAAAAAATTCAGAAAAATATCTTGAAACACAAAAGAGTAAATGTATTCAATAAAATAGTTATTGGCTTCAACCAAGGCCTCCATACGATTTCGGAATCTCCTACAACTGTTCTGGACGTTCTTCTTATTTAAGTTGATGAATACTCCCATAATCCTTGCCTTCAGTTTATCTTTAGTGTTACAAGAAAATTTGTTGGTCTCTCATTCAAATGAGCCCCACACATAATAATCAAGGTGGTTGCAGTCTGGGGAGTTAGTTGAACAGATGTAAGGGGTGATATATTCGCAGAAATTGTCTGACAGCCATGACTAGGTTCTCCTGCCTATGTGGCATGGTGATGAGTCCTGATGCCAGACATAGGGTCTTCCAGCAGCCACCCTCTTGACCCAGGAGAGCACTAACTCCTCAAGTCAAATGATGTTGAGTCTGAGGTACCTGTGGGAAGATGAATGGAAGTACAACGTCACCATCACTAGTGATCACGACAAACACCATAATGTTGATTGGATCTATCATTCAACTCTTTCCGAATCCTCTGCAATGTCCTCAGATTGACACCCAAAGACACTGAAATGTTCTTATTGGAGCTTCCGGCGCGAATGCCAAGCAGTACATTATCCCGTTTCCTGGCGGGGTGAACTGCGTCATTGCACTCTTTTTCTCACAAACGGTGCCCAACTGACCCTACTATATTGTGAAGACCACAATAGCAAAAATAAACAACGAGCAAAATTACAAATATAAAATGGCAAGAATTTACCCATCGCACCCCCCATATATATATATATATATATATATATATATATATATATATA